ACCTCCTAATACGTGATCGTGACCGTGCGATCGAAATAAATGAATGGCTCACAGTTATTTGGTTGTACCACAGCAAAGCCCTTGCATATAACCGCGGGAGACGTCCTATGAACTTTTCAGAAACAAATTAAAGGAGGCAAGAATCGAGTGCGCAATGGGCGGTTGTTGCTGAAGCGATGGAACGAAGTCCTGCGTGCAAAACAATTATTATATATTATAAAAAAACCAAAGCTTCAACGTTTATATTTATTTGAATTGATTGAACTTTGAAGGCTTGTAATAATGCCACTCACGTTGGCATTAATCATGTCCGTGCGATCCGCGTGAACGGAGGTGCGGCGGAGGAGATCCTTACTTGTGTCAGCGTCGTGTACATCGTCGCAATGCAAAGCAGTACCATACCAGGGTCCGTATATGGTATATGGCTATATATAACTCAAACAAACTAGGGGAAGCCAATTTTACCGCCTTCAGCTTTCAGACTTGAGGCGGCTAGTACATCTTCGTTTTCTTCTTAGAATAAAAGTAACTCCAGTGCTTCCGTCGTTTTCGTTTTAAAAAAAAGCAAAATCAACGCTCTGCACTCTGCAGCCTCGTTTCGTGCCTACTGCCTACCTTGGCTTTGAATTCCTCACGCAGAACAGACCCCCGGTGTGTGTTGCAAGCAGTCTCAATGAATAAATTGCTACAAAGGTCCTGTTTCGCTGAAAAACAAACCAAAATACTATTCCAATTAAAAAAACGAGTTGAAAAGTACGGATTATAAGACCAGCGAACAAGGCGAAAATATGCCCTTGCTTCCTCCTTGGTAACTGCTTTCGTGAATCAACAAAAAAAACTTATTGTCAGCATCATCCTATTCGCTTGATCGTATCAGTCATACTTATCAGTTATGATACGGTATTTTTCTCTCACAATAAAACAGCATCAGCCAGCTTATAAGCCACGCAATCGATCAAGCTATTTCGACGGTTGTAGCCTGTAGGCCCCTGTGGCCCAATTCTTTATTTGATGAACTGGAGTTGCCAAAACAAACAGTTGATGTCCTCGGCCCGTGCTTTGAGTGCGTGTTGTTCCAACCCCAAATTCCCAAAAAAAAATGCTACAGCACTATCACATCGAATCTTGCGATACGTGTATGGAGTATTAAATGTAGGCGAAAAAAAACTAATTGCACAGTTTGGTTGAAAATTATGAGACGAACGTTTTAAACATAATTAGTTTATGATTAAACACTAATTGTCAAATAAAAACGAAAGTGGTACAGTAGTCCAAATTTCCAAATTCACCCAACTAAACACGCGGTGACTGACAAACCCACTGCTTAAATCTGTGGGAATTCCAAGGAAACAGTAACACGTGAACCTGAACTGCTTGGCTGGGCTCTGTCCTTTGCCTGCTGTCTGTTTGTTTCTTTCCATAAATTTCAGTAAACAACCGATTCATTTTCACGTTTCAAAAAGTAAAAAGGCCCTGTTTAATAGAAAACCGTGGTAAATATTAAGAAGTTATATAGTTTCAGAATTAATAGGCGTGTAAAGTCAAAGGTTTACAACTAAGAAACAGGGTTTAGGGTGGAGTTTTTGCCCTAACCCGATATTATGGCCACTTCATCGCCTCTCGACCTCGCCATTGCTCAACTGTCCTTTTCCTTATGCTCACGGATAACGGTAGACCGCTCTGGCGCCTTGCGCTTGCCTTCTCAAGTCCTCCTTCGTCCTTCTTTTGTCTCCCAATAAACACATCTTTGAGACCATGAAGGGACCCCCCCACCATGTAAGAAAACATAACAGCAAGTAGTATTTATTTAGTATATAGTTGAATAGTCTTTGTTTATATTAGCAAAAATATGATAAAAAAATTCTTGTCATATATGTTTAGTGATGCGTTTTAGACAACAGAACATAGTTAGAATAAATTTTTTTGATTCACCTAAACTTATTTGCCTACCATATTAGGACACATCTAATGAAGATTTTATGTTTTAATAAATACGTTACCGAACGCGTACTCAACTAGTAGTAACAGTTTAATGGTCATCAACACTTTTTATAATAATCATGCTTATTAAGCGGTGCTATTATTATATCTTGACTCTTTTTATTGCTAATCACATTAGAGACATAGAAGCTAACATGAATGCATATACACTCAACCCTATGGACAAACATACATGCACTTCTAAACTACTAAGATTTCGAGATTCATAAGTCACCACATGTGTCTACAGTCGCCTGCTGCAGAAAAAATATCATTGTTAAATGGTTAAATATATACTAAAATAAATTTAGAAAAATAGGTGGAGCTGCATCGTGAACAACCCGAGTGATCAAGTTCCACCATATAAGAAATTAAACAGATGATCTAGACTTAATTGCATATGTTAAATTTTTTTATCGGACCCCTCTGTATATAATTCTAGCACGTATGATCATAAATCGACAGCCTTCGCCCTAAGTTCAAGGACGTTACCGGTGAGTGGAGAGAGAACACCAAGTGAGAACGGAGGCCCTAAGTTCAAGGACGTCACCTCTGTATATATATTCTTTTTTCTAATGTATCTTTTCTAGCCCCCTTTTGTGTTCACACGATCAGATTTATATACTTGCAAAAGAGGGGTTATAGAAACCATCATTAGTATTTAAATGATAAAATGGTTCCAATTTTATTCTAAGAATAGTAATCAAATTAGAGGATAATCCATTAATAGAAAACTTATAATAATACAAATACTCACTCCGTCCAATAAGATACAATTCTAGAATGGAGTTCATTGAAATTATCTTAAGTTCAACAAAATGTGTATAAAAAGTAATATAATTATCATTAGATTTGCTATGTAATATATTTTTATGATACATCTAATTAGAGTCTTAAATGTTTACTATTTTTTTTATAAATCTAGCCAAACTTAAGTTAGTTTGACTATGACTAAACCTAGAATTATATTTTTTTTCTAGGACAAAGGTAGTACTCCCTCCGTTTTAAATTATAAGTTACTTTGATTTTTTTTTTCATTCATTTTGTTATGTATCTGACATATTATTATATCTAGATACATAGCAAAATAGATATAAAAAAAGTCAAAATGACTTATAATTTAGAACGGAGGAGTATATTTTACAGAGATACTAAAGCACAATAATTCATCCTGGTAATTGATTACTGTGTGCATACAATCAAATTTCATTCAAACTCACACCGCAACAAATATTTTCGAACATAACTTGGCAACCTCTATCACAAAAAAGGAGACACTTTTTAATAGAAAACTGAAGGCCGTTTAACCTTCCTGATTTTATTATCCGGTTGATTGTTCTTCGAAAAAGAGATTCATTTCTGCTGCATTATAGTCTGTGTGTGTCAGCCGACAACTGTACTGTGGTGCAGAGGGAACACACGGAGCGCGTGTTTAGTTCCGAAAGAAGTTAAAAAAAAATGTGTTACAGTATCTATCATATCGAATCTTGTGATATATGTATGGAACATTAAATATAGATGAAAAAAATATAATTACACAGTTTGATGGGAAATTGCGAGACGAAAGTTTAAGCCTAATTAATCTATGATTGAACACTATTTGTCAAATAAAAACGAAAGTACTACAGTACCCAAATTCCAACTTTCCCTCCAACTGCCTTGTTTAGATTCACCTCAACTTTCAAAAAGTTACTATAGTACCTGTATCATATCGAATGTTTACGGCTATGCATGGAATATTAAATATAGACGAAAAGAAAAACTAATTGTATAGTTTGGTGAGAAATTGCGAGACGAATGTTTTAAACCTAATTAGTCAATGTTTAAACATTATTTATCAAATAAAAACAAACATGCTACAGTAGCCCCAAAATCCAACTTTCTCCAACTAAACAAGAACACAACACAGCCAGAAGCGCCTGTGTGACAGCAGGGGTGGTGGGGAGGATTTTAAATCCGCCCGCGTGCTGTTTCGAATCACCGTCTCCTCCGGCATTCACTGCCCGATGGCGACGGATGTAGGTTCCACCTCCGAAGGCGCTTCCTTTTCCGACGCCTTTTGGCTTCTTGACGCCTTTCTAGGACTAGGACCAGTTTGAACTGTTCGTTCCCCCTCCTTCCCGTGCGCGCTGCTGCAGGTTTCGTCGATGCCACCTGGCTCCTGGCTTGCTCCGTGATTGCCGGTGAGTTCTTCTTCCCCCTTTTTCTTCCAAGCACGTTTTGGATCTTGGTGGCGGAATGCTGCTGTAGTGCTGTGTGCTCCAGCTCCTGGTTCCTGGGGATTGATTCTTGCATGGTTAGCGGCTGCAAATTTGGTTTGCAATGCGTTCGTCGGCCGTTTCTCCCAAAGTATTTCAGATTCCTTTTCATCCAACATTCATTTCATCCCGTCCCTCTTCCTGGTGCCGTTTTTATTCCTTCTTCCGATGCGCATGCGTTGAAGTGAATTAGCATGGAATTAAACTAAATTTCATTCTATTCCACTAGAAGTAAATACACGTGCATCCGTACAAACCTTATGAGAGTATTGTTTTCCCTTCCCTTTCCTTTTTTGAAACACCCCTTTCCCTTTCTTGATTCAGGAATAAACTGTATACGACATCATTTCTCCTCTTTTGCATCAAATCCTTCCCAAAAAAACTGGTGGCTACAAGCTTTGGTTTCACGGTTTGCGCATAGCATTTTTTTGTCATGATGGTTCGTTCTGATTTTTTATTTACCACGGATACCCATCCCCATCAATATATTTACTTCCTGTTCTAGATATGCATTCCTTCCCAAGTCGCAGCTTGAGCATGCTGCTTCGGAAGCTGAAATTGTGTTCACTGTTTTATACCGATCTTTTATGTTTTTAAGATGTATCAACAATGTGTCTTTGTAATTTGCACCTATCTTAAACTGTGAACACATTAAAATTGTTTGTAACGAACATACCACAGTTCTTTTCCTGGATGCTGATGTCTTTTAATATTTACTGTTTTGCTCTCTGTTAGACAAGTCGGCGTCTTTCCAGACTGGAGATGGGGACTATGGTTGGAGGGTGTGTTGGCCCAAGTGAGCTTCACTTGAGGAAGGAACTTACTGCTTTGCAAAAGGCGCGCTGCTTGCAGGACCCTGATACTTGCTCAACATGGAGATCACCTTTGAGTTATAGGTCACTGGTGGCAACTTCAAGGATTACATACAACGGTGGGATTTCTAGTAATTTAGCGCCAAAGCTCAATGAGTCACCTTGTGCACCTGCAAACACTGAAAAGAAACGAAGAAAGGTTTATCTCTACAATTGGAGGCAGAATTCTTGTAAATCTAGTGAAAGTGGAATGAAGATAGATGAGGATGTTAAGCAACCATCCGGTGAGCTAATCCTGGACAGTCCATGCAAATCTAATGGGGTAAACTCCAAAGGTGATGCATATCTGGGTCCTCCAGCCAGCATCTACAATGTTCAGAGTTCAACATCATCTACTCCTGTCAAAAGAATAGCTAGAAGGAGAAAGGGTGTTTTGTCCAAAAAAGGTGCAGTCAGAAACCAAGCTGTCTCGAAGTTGTCAGATCTTCAGGTTAATTCCGGTGAGCAATCTGAGGATACTGAGAACTGCAACTCAGAGACTCCGGAGATATTTCAAAGGAGCTACTTCTCTCGCCCTACATCTCCGCTATTTGCTGCATGTGGATGTGTCAGCTCTTCAAATCCCTCAAAACTACTGAAAATAGGTAGAGGAGAGGGATCTTCCTTTTCTTGCACACCTGTTTCTACTAGCTCCTATTACAGGCACGTAAGAAGGAACACCAGCACTGTTGGTTCTTGGGATGCTAGGACTGCTACTTCTTTTGATGGTGATGAGTCTAACCAATCAGCAGTTCTGAGAAGTCAGAGGTCGCATGTCCCTTGCTATGCATCAAATAGGAGAAAACATCGAGGATCTGAAGGAAGTAATTATTCTCCTTCACTATCTGCTATACTTCGAAGAAAAGGTAGCAGCCTAATATGTGGGAGTCAGACAATGCATAAGAAGAAGAGATCATTTGGTTCAATGAAATGGGCACATTCGAAAAAGTCTGCTCAGGGAATGCCACTTTTGTGTAATAGCTGTGATTTTGGTTCTTCATCATTTGATTCATCAAGTGATGAACTCTCAACCAATATAGGGGAGCTTGATATGGAAGCTTCAAGCCGGTTAGATGGGAAAAGATGGTCAAACTGTAAAAGCCAGGATGGGATGGATCTATCTGTTCGTAGTGCTGATCTGGCCGAGTCAGACCCGAGAAGCTTGAGCCAAAAATATAGACCAAGGACATTCCCTGAAATTGTTGGTCAAAACATTGCAGCCCAATCACTTAGTAATGCTATAACAAGGGAAAGGATAGCTACTGCCTATCTTTTTCAAGGTCCTCGTGGAACCGGAAAAACATCGACTGCAAGGATATTTTCAGCAGCTCTAAATTGCCTTACTACTGGAGATAACAAACCCTGTGGGGTATGTAATCAGTGCACTGATTTCTTCAGTGGAAAAGGTACCAATCTAAAAGAAGTTGACGCAAGTAACAGAAAGTGTATAAGCATAATTAAGCACTTACTGGAAAATTTGCCACCATCTGCACCTTTGCCCCGGTATAAGGTGTTTGTTGTTGATGAATGCCACATGATACCTTCCAAATTATGGTCAGCATTTATGAAGTTTCTTGATGAATCATTTCCTCGTGTTGTGTTCATATTTATTACAATTGACCCAGACAACCTACCTCGAGCAGTCGTATCACATTGCCAGAAGTATGTGTTCTCTAAGATCAAAGATATTGACACTGTGTGCCGCTTGAGGAAAATTTGTGTCAAGGAAAATCTTGATGTTGAGCTGGCAGCTTTGGATTTGATAGCTCTGAATTCAGATGGCTCACTACGAGATGCAGAAACAATGTTAGATCAATTGAGTTTGTTAGGGAAAAAGATAACTCCTTTACTTGTCAACGATCTGGTAAATTTCTTGCTATGATCAATCAATTCTTTTAATGACGAATATTGCTTTGAATTACATGAAAATGAAAGCTGTTCTCTGATCTGTATTGCATTTTTCCTCCAATCTCTGATTTAGTGGACTATTTGTGTATTTTATATCCATGGATTCTAGTGTCCCCCAGTGAATTCAGCATGTTTTGGGGTTCTATTATTTTTTTCTCCAATAAATCATGTACGTAATGCACATAAAGTTAAGTAAACCTGTAAAGTTCGGTGTCAAAGTTATCCCAGATGTTAAGAAAGAAAAAAACAGATAAAGTACTCAATCTGAGGTTAATATTATCACTGACCATATATTTGTGCCTTTGTCATATTCACCTCGTCTCTAAATGAAAACATGTGTTTTTTGAAAATGGGTTGTTTCTGAAATTGTACACTGTAGAAACTAAGACATGATACTAAATTGTCCTTTTGGGGAGTTGAAATGCTGTTCAGTTTCTGCATGACTGCACAAGTAATGGGCATGCTAAATTTCTTCCTTTAATTTAGAATGACTTTTGAGCGAGATATCAGTTATTCTATCTAGATAATGATTGCAAATTTCATTTTAAAGGTCGGTGTTGTCTCGGAAGAGAAATTGCTTGATCTTCTGGAGATAGCTATGTCAGGAGATACGGCTGAGACAGTGAAAAGATCCAGAGAGCTGATGGATTCTGGCACTGATCCAATGGCATTAATGTCTCAGTTAGCTGGGCTCATCATGGACATCATTGCTGGCACCTACAAATTGGCTGATGTTACTTGTTGTAATGGCTCAGCAGTTGGTGGTCGAAGTTGTGAGTACATTCAACCATACCTTATTGTTCTGTTGGCGTTTTCAGCTCATTCATTCTTTCTTCCTCTCCATCTTTATTCTTTTCTCATCATAAATATCATTGCTTCATGATTTATTTTGTATCACAAAAACTACTATATTATATTAGGCTATTAGCAGTCATACTAGGTGATTGATGGAAGTAATTTCAAAACATTTTGTTTAGACTAACAAAAATGACTCTCCTTGGTTCATTCATCAGAATCACAAAATCACATAAGTGTGTTTTACTCCCTCAATTCCAAATTGTAATTTGTTCTGGCTTAACTAAATACATACCTTTTACTCTGTATCTAGACATAACATATATCTAGGTGCGTAGCAAAATCTATGTACCTTGAAAAGCCAAAACCTCTTACAATGTGGAATGGAGGGAGTAATATTTTTTCATGTATTCATGCAGCATGCCTGTGAAGCAGGCAAAGTCACTGACAATTGCATATTTGATGGCAGCCTTTGCTTGTTTTTTAAGCAATGAGCCAATGAGGCTGATTTGAACCTTGCCCTTCATTAGTCTACATGATCTATCTGCTAACGACTTTGTTTATGCTCTGTAGTAACGGAAGCAGAGTTAGAAAGATTACAACAAGCATTGAAGATTCTTTCTGATGCTGAAAAGCAGATAAGGCTTTCAAGTGAGCGTCCCATGTGGTTTACTGCTGCTCTACTACAACTTGGATGTGGTCATAGTTCAGATATGAACCAACAAAAATGCGGTACTCAAGAACACCATAAAGTAGCCAATGATGCTATGTCTGAGATAGCAAGGGAATCCTCCAGCAGAACTGTTTCTCATTCATTATCTGCCTTTGGCATTTCTAAGAGAACAATTGACGCCAAAACAATTAGTGTGCACTCGAGTCCTCAGGTCCTTGCCTCACATTCATCTCGGTTGAGACTGAATGACAACTTGGTTTATGGAGAGTGTAGGTCTGTTGATAGAGTTCCACTCAATTCTAATCAACTGAATGACAACTGTTCCCAGCAAAGGGCCCTAGTAAATGGAATCTCAGATAGCCTTGCCCAGGTTTGGATAAGATGCATTGAGAACTGCCACTCGAAGACATTACAGCAGCTACTTCTTGACCATGGGAAACTAGTATCAATCAGGCAATTTGAGGGTAAGCATGTCTTATGTTTTTCACTTTTTCTTGCTATCAACATGGAATATCTTTAAGTGGGTTACTTATCATTTATCACTTGCTGTCACTAAGATGCTCATACTTCTTCCTCTGAAAGCAAAATACGTGGTCCTCATTGATTAGTCTTTTTTTATGTTTTTTAATACACTTAAGACTTCATCTTCAGACATGTGATTCAAGTCTGTAAGAAGTATGTCAGTGGTATCCACAAAGGTTGAAATAAATGCATCTCTCAAAGTTGAAATTGAGTTAAATTCTCCATATGGCCCAGTATTTTAAATGGTTGGCTACCTATTCTCTGTTATTGAGTTATAATCTTCATTTTCATATCTGTCAGGCCATGCGATTGCTTTCATCGCATTTGAGGACTGTGGCATAAAATCTAGAGCTCAAAGATTTTTGAGTAGCATTACCAATTCAATTGAGACAGTACTGAAATGCAATGTGGAAGTCAAAATTAGTCCACTAGCAGAATTGATGGACGGAGAAATAACATTAGAGGCTGGTCCTAATGTAAGAAGGTACGAGTCTGATGTCTTGAGTTGCTCATCAAACAGTGACCGACTAAAGGGAACTTTGGATTCAAGGAGAAGCTTTGATCATCCTGATGAAGTAAAGAAAGAACTGGAGACGTACAAAAATACTGCATGTTCTGATGAAAGGTTGTGTTCGGAAGTTCCCATCCAGACTTCAAAAGAATCAACAAATGATGAACAGCGACTGGAAAGCGCATGGCTCCAGGTTTCTGAAAAGCACACACCAGGTCTGATGAATCAGGAAAGACACGATCAACATCAGGTTCTGTCTCAATTTGTTGGCAACCAATACCAAAGGAAGTCCTCAATGTCCCTAGTTGTGCCCCCAGGCCATGCAGATGAGGATCTTGCTCATGAGATAGAAGCTCTGAAGATAGTTGACAGTTATGGTTCTCAGAAGCACCAGAGTAGAAGAAGTGAAAATGCCTTTGCCATTTCACCAAGCAGAATGCACAAAAAGGATGACATGGTTGATTGCGACAAAGAGAGCGTGTAAGTCAATACAGCTAGGACATTGATTAACATGCAAATTTGATTTTTTTCTTTCTAGTCAAATTAATTAGAGACAACTTGATTTGTTGTCATGACATGGTGCATCTGATTGTTGAAGTTGAGCGATACTAATCTTTAGAATTTATGACATGTCCTCGACATATTGCATTCATTCTGTTTGAAATTCTGTGTGGCCTCTGAAATTCACCATGCTTACCATGTCTAATTTACAGATGCTCTGATCTTGGAAAATCGGGATGCCATGGCCTTTTCCCTTGTTGGAAAACACAAAAACCAAGGGGAGTAAAGGTAAATATCAAATGCCCTTATCTTCTCAGTGGCACCAAACATCAGGATGCAACCTGACACCTGTGTGTAATGCAGACGAAGAGGCAGATGCGTGTGAAATCTTCTTAGTCTGGCAGAGCTGTTTAACATGCCGTTGATGATGCAGCGAGCCTGGGAATAAAAATACATGCTGTGCATCCTTCTTCCAGCCTGAAATTCAACTCTGAAGGCCGCATATTTTTGGCCTTCACGGGGCAGGATTTTGGTGCAATAACTAATCTATGACAACTTCAGGGATGGAGGACAATTTCTTCAGCATTCAGCTGCACGTGAAACCATGACGTTGTATTTATATGTGGTCCCAAAAGTTATTATATGCTCCTTGTTATCATGGGGAAAAAAAAGAAAGAGAATGCATCTTGTAATGTTTTTACTTTGTAGACAATGTCCAACGAGGAACATCACATGAATGAAACTGATCAATATAGACATATTATCAAATCTGTCTGCTCTTTTGTACTAATGATCCTGCGTTCATATTACCTGTTATGCTTCATTCTGTCAGTGTTTTGCACCTTTTTATCCAATTCTGACAAATCTGATCTTATTCTATGATACTCTTACCGCTTGATGTTCAACAACTTAGAGGTAGCGATTACCATTTTATTCAACTAGCCCCGCTGGTCAGTGTGGCATGGCAAGGCCACGATGATGTGGTCGATCTTGTGGGGCCAATGCATGCCGAAGACTGGTGTTCACTTTAGCATTTTTGTACCACCTAAATGAATTAGTAAATGATGCTCTGAGAACCCGTTCGGCTTGAACCAAACTTTTTCTTCCCTCCTAGATCAGGTCCTAGTCGGGAGACCTGGTCACCAGTCTTCGTACCGGCATAGAGACGAACAACCCCTTCGACAAAGGAGCCAATGATCGACATCTTCCATGTCCTTTTTCGTTCTATGGTCACTAGCACCCATTTTGACCATCAACATTCCACCCAAAACCAAGGTAAAACAACATCATATGCATTATTTCATGTTTATAATCCACCTACTTCCACTTGTACTTGGAAAAATTATTTGTATGCAGGAATTTTCACAAAAATGTACAAAAGAAGTGCATAGAAGGCAAGTGGACGTGGCAGGGAGCCGTGGGCCCACAGGGCCACGTCGACCAACGCCACATGGCGTCGGCCAACGCCCCCTGGCCCCTGCCACATCACTGATCCATGGGAGAGCCTCTACACTGTCTCTCCAGCGTTGATCTATGTCGGTTTGATCCAAAGGTGGAGGTTGAGCTCCCTTGGATCCATGGGTCCAATGTCATACACTTTGTAACACCTCTGGTGTTTTGACCTAGCACTAAAATTTGACATGTCATCATATGCATTGCAAAGCATTCATGGAGTAGAAAATTTTGAATGCATTAACTAAATAAGCTTTATTTCATAATGTTGTTATTTCATGTGGTGTGTTTCAAAACCCTAAATAAAGATCATGACCACAAGGGTCAAATTTTATGTGATCATGTGAGGCCATGTGTCATTTGACTCAAATAACCCTAATGGGCCATGTTACTGGTCAAAAATCAAAGTTAAAGTAAAAGAAAGACAAATCAAATTTGAATTCAAATTCAAATTATAAAAGTCCTTTTTGCCATTTTGACTAATTCAAAATCCATGTGGAATTTGGGGTTGAGGCAAAAAGCAAAGTTGAAGATTATTTTATAAGGGTCAACTTTGGTATTCAAAGTTTTTCAAGTTTACATATAAAATTTGGAGTAATTTTGAAATGATTCAAATACTCAAATGCACCATAAATTCAAATTTCAAAATGGAGGCAGAATTTGAAAATGTTCCTTGAAGCAAAGTTGTAGAGTTTGAAAAATTGAGCAACTTTCATTTTTGGAGATTTTCAACTTCTTTAGAAAAATTGGGAGTAATTTGTAAAATAAACTCAGTGGCAAATCTGTAATTATTTCAAAAATTGAGATAACTACATGGCGCTACCGCCTCACCGCCGGCGTTCTTTCTCCGGCCTTCCAGGCGCGTCTGCGACCACCCTTGGCTTCGCGCTGGCATGGGGAGCACTCTGCGTGTCGAGTCCGCGCGCTCCTGGCCGAGCTATAAGACCCTGATGACGTCGTTCATTTTTCTTCCTTCACTCTGTTTTCCCGACGCCGCCGTCTCAACTCCGGCGAGCTTCTCTCGTCCCCTCAGCGCAAGTTAGCCCTGAAAAAGCCGTGTTCCAGTTTCGTCTGCTCCTTGCGCATCTGACCGAGCTGTTGCTACCGCCTGATTTCACCGAGAGCTCGCTGTCCACGTTCATCTTCCTCGCGGCCGGCGACCTCAACAGAAACGTCGATTCACCGTGGCCAGCCTCATCCGGTGAGCCGTTGCCCTCGATTGTTGGCTCTCTGGTTTCGTCGTGATGCTGTAGTGCTCATTCCACTCTTGCCTGCTCATTTTACCCACTGCAGTCGTCGGAACGCTGTCGTCGACGAGGTCTGCTCCGCCGTGATCCTGGTCACCATCGAAACGCGTCCCCGTAGCTTCTCCGGTCTCGCCTGTTGGTTCAACACGATCGGGGTGAGCCACTGATGCTTCCTGAACTCTCTATTTCACCGTTACTGGTCTTGTTTCGCCGATGTAACATTGCCGTGCCACCGCGCCTGCCATGGCCGGTGTTAGCCTTGTTCCATATCGTAATCGACCTCCAAAGTGCCACTAATCGATGCGCCTAGCTCTTATGAACATGTTAGTGCTTTGGCCGTCGCTGTTGGGCTCATCATCGGCGAGTTTGCGCTGGTCAGCGCCGTCGCAGCCACAGTCAATGCCCGAGGTTGGGGATGACAGGTGGGGGTCGGCTGTCAGTGAGAGCAAGAGAGAGAATAGTGCCTTTTGTTATTTTCTGATTTTAAATAGTGCTGAATCTTTGGAAATTTGTAGGAAAATAATCATAGCTCCAAAAATTCTGAAAAAATTTGTGTATCTTCTGTACATGCTCTAGTATGGTTTAAAAATTTGAAACATGAAATTTGAATAAATTTTTAATGTTCAAATATTCAGTCCTTTAATTAATAAATGCAATTTCCATGATTTTTGTAGGCCACTGTATAATTCCAAAAAATTATGAAATTTGTTTTGGTACACTAATTTGACATAAGGAAGCTTACATAAAATTTTGAGGTCATTTGGAACAAGTTTATTTTTGGGCTTATTTCCAAATTAATTCAAAAATAAATAAAAGCAAACCCTAAGTGTTTGATTAGTGTTTGATCTTGTTTTGATCATGTTTTGTGACCAGTAGGGTTTCACGATCAGTGGTCGGGGAGTTCACCGTAGTGGTCGGGGAGTTCACCGTAGTGGTCGGAGAGTTCACCGTAGTGGTCGGAGAATTCGCCGTAGTGGTCGGAGAGTTCACCAAAGTGGTCGGAGAGCTCGCCGAAGTGGTCGGTGCTGACGTGGTCACATCCGTTACGAATATGGTTTGGTTAGTTTGGCTTGTAACTGTACCGTGAAGGAAAGTTGTATTCAAGGTGTTGTTATATTTCATGCATCATGAAAGCATCATGTTTACATTATCATCATGTTGAAGCATATGCTATTATTTCGTGTAGAATCCGAGAGTGAACCGATTCTAGTTGAGCAAGTTCTAGAAGAATCCCCGGTTGTCATGGGATTCGATAATAGTGGTGTTGATCCGGAACCTGAGATCGTCAACGAAGGCAAGCCCCGGTTTATACATTAAACCATTACCTTGTTTACTTTGAAAAGTTTATCACCTATGTTACTTATTGCATTAAGTTGATTTATTCAAATGTTACATACTTGATGCATTGCCTACCTTGTTGATTGTTTACCATCCTTGAAGATGATTTCATTTACAAAGGCGTAGAATTGCTTAGTATGCTTTATGGTAGGTTTTCAAAGTAAAAGTTTCGATACGATCAAAGATGGCATACTGGCCAAAGAAAGAAAGAAAGAAGATAGAATGAACTAGAGACTGGTCGGGTGGCTTATCTTGAATGTTGGGTAATGTTGCCGACTATGTCAATTAAAGGCCACTCATTGTGGATCTTCTGAACGAGACACTTTGTAGTACTGGTCACATACTCCGGTAAGCCTACTTTGGCTAATCTGATACTAAGACGAATGCCCACGCACTGGGAGTGGTGAGATGGTGGGAGTAGCGTGTACCCTCGTGGCTTGAATGTGGCCGGATTTGAGGTGTGCTGTGTTCTCGAGTGGCGTGAAGACGGCTTAGTACGGGAGGATCCGGTAGCGAGGTTGATATATGCAAGATTAAGTTCTACATATGTCGTGTGATAAGAAATCCCCCGCTGGGACTTGAATCAATTCGAATTGCCGGTGCTCCGCGGATATGGAGACTCGATTCATTACAGAAGCAATGCAGGACTGGTGAATTACTAAAACATGAGAAAAAGAATGGAAAGAGAAGGATTGGAACATGGGATATGAACACTTAGTTTGAGATATTGAACTAAAGTACTTAGGGGTAAAACTTGAAACTAGGATCAAGAATAGTAAGCTTTTGGCAAAGAACTTTTGAATCTTTCTACATCCTTACCTTGACCCAACACCTACATCCCTAAGACCTTCGCCCTTTTTGGTCGGGTCAGTCTTAATGAGTACTTTTGTACTCATGGTTTGTTAACCCTTGTTGCAGGTGAGTCGCATGCGCAGGCTTGTTTTGGTCCCTGCTGCATGTCAGTGTTTGAAGTCGATGATGATGAGGAATGATGAATGGCCTTTGGACAAGGCACTAGTTTGTGTGAAATAAATAATGTTAATGTAATATTATCCCGCTACTATGGTTGTATGACAATTATGGTTTTGTAAGTTTGAAACAACTGGTTTGTAATATCAAAACTTAAGTCTTCCGCTTTATAATCTCTGGTATATGTATTGAAAACTGTTGTAATCTGTAATGACTGTGATTGGGATCCTGTTTGGAAAAGATTCATGGATGATTCTGGTTTCCCGAGGACACTCGACAGATCTGTTAAGTTGTTGGGAACTTGTGTACGCTATCTGAGGTCTGTTGAGACATCGATAGATGCACGTGGGCCCGATTTCTTAGGAAGTTCTGCCACACACTTGAGGGGCC